TTCGTGTTGTCACATTTTTTTTTTTTTTACGTACAATGATATGATACAGAGCCCACCTCTGCCCCCTTCCATATGATTTTTAATACGGCGTCAGTTATAACTTTTAGAAAATAGTTCTTTTTTATTGATCGAATTGCGCATTGTTATTAGGTAACTACCGATCCTTTATTATTTTTTAAACCGAAAATATACTTTTGACCGGTATAAATGTGAAAAATATTTAATAATTATTAATTTTAACGCGGGGTGTATAGTTTGAGATTTAACAGATATATTTAAGTCCTTATCAGCAGTCTTGCTTAAACTGGCTTCCTTAAAAACACCTTCGTAGCAGTCTTATTTATTCGTATTTAGTGTATACACACTTCTCGAATCCGTTGTGCACACTCGCAGTTTCGGACTACACACCTTGGGTCGGAATTCACTAAAAAATAGATCCTTTTACCCAAAACAATTTTAGTTTTACTTTTTATTCAGATTTAGTAATTTATAATACATTCGATCAAAATAAGAGTAGTATATTTGTTTAGTCATTATAAATTGTTAAAAACAATACTTTATATTTGTTAGCCAATGACTACAGAACACATTGTGGTTCCTTTCAACTTGCGAACCCCCTAACACTCCCCCTTGTTCTTGCCTTGACTATCAGCTACACGTATATTTTACGAGCGCGCGCGTAACTTACTGAAATTCGAATAAGTTTTCGGCGACCAAACAAGCATCGGCTGCCGCGTACGGTAAACGATCGATAACGAAAATAATATTATTTCATACTACTGAACGTAGCGCGGATAGTAAATTGGGTCCCAAATGACCTTTTCTCGGGTAAATTGGGTCCTGAAAATAAAGGTAGTAGGTCAATTGAGCCGCAGGGGAAAAAAATTATATTGCATATTGCGTTATTTCTTTAATATCTAATAATCTTTATTAAAAGACAAATAGTGAAACCATGATAAAATGTATACATTAAAAAATAAATTTAATACTTGATATTGTAACTAAAATAAAATATATATGTTATTTTCAGAGTATTTTAATCGTGATAAAAACTTGAATGTTACGGATTTAACAGACTCAAATCGGGTCCTCGTATCATCAGAGTATTTCTCTTTATTGCTCCGATAAATGTTGTTCTTTTTAGAACGTACTATTTATTTTTTTGTTGCGCGCACGATAGTAACTTCTAATTCAGACCAAATATTTTTGCGAATCGTAGCATATGATCAGATACAAGTTTCGAGTATCACACTAAATATTTTAATATACTACGATAGGTAATTGAGATAACAGTAGGGACCTAACTTATTTACTATCTTTTTTTTTTTCCTAGGACTCAATTTACCGATTTTAAATGGTACAAAAATTATCGCGGGTTCAATTCATCTAGTCCCAAACGTAGGTGTACTACGCGAAAATAAAAGAAACGGCAAAACGGTACGTATTTATTATTCATAATATCCCCGCGTTTACGTGATAAATATATAAATACGCGTGTGTGTGTAAATATTGGGTTAAATTGGTAAGCCCGTATAATTTATTACTTCGTTCGAGAGAAGGTAGTCGAAAACCATCAAACATAATATTTTCCTCGTATCCCCTTCTTTTCGTTCCTCACGCGCTCTTTTTTGTACGTTCTATCTTGTTTTTACTCTAATAATTTTTGATAAATAAAATATTTCCATACGCTCGCTCGCACTATACTCTTTTGCTATTACCCCCCAACAGTAAACCGCAGTTTGTCTGAATTATGACTAATGTCACGTGAATGATCTCGCCCCCTACCCTTCTTCCATTTAAACATACTGTATCGCTCATAATTATTATAACACTTATGCGCGATGCAATGTAAAATATTAATTATTTCCATAACAGTTAAGAATATAGTCAAGAGCGTAACGATATTCAAAATAATATATCTCGTGTATACGTCTGTAAAATAAAACTAAAAAACACACGTTCGTCGTATTTATTTTTGTACACGCTGAAATATTCAGACAAACGCTTGTAGCAGCGGCAGCCACTCCTCCCGTTGGCAGTATTATTTGTATAATGTTTGTGTATGATATTATAATCCCTGAACAGTATAAAGCTTATAAATGTGTAGTGAAATCGGTAAGAAAATATTTTATTGAGAATTTTCAATCGAATCCATCGAATAATTGCGCTTGTCACATTCTACATGTACAGTGCATTAAATTTAAAATAATTTTATGAAAAAAAAAAAATAAATAAATAAAACTATAATCAAATAACTATTTACTCGAGCAAGAAAAGTAATAAAAATATTTTATTACGTGAGATTCCGGTGGTAACATTAACGATTTTTACCAATACTTGAGTGAACCGTATCCGTGTTTTACCGTATAGTTAACGGAAACTTAGTGTTCTGACATAAACATTTTCAGTACGGGTTCGACGGCAGTTATTTCCGACTCCGGTGTGTAAGAACAAAATTACCACGTCGCGGTATGACGTTTGCCCATCAACGTAATATGTGACGATAATAACATTGAGATACGCTGTTCGAAAGAAAATGAAATCGATTTCAATTGAAACATTAACTGAACGGCAAGAAAATACAAGCATCCGCTTAATTGATTGTCGGCATCGACGGAACGCTGCCGAAATCCCTTCGAACCGCTGCAACGTTCGTCCGTCTGCATTAGGACCGATTCATCGTTTTTGAAACAGAAAATTTCCCGAAAACCCACTACGAAGCACGCCAGTAATTTAGTTTCTAGCAGTGTGGAATCCGTAAAAATATCGATTACGATTCACAATAATATCGTGACCATACTGTATCCGTGCACAATTACCGTGTTACAGTTCGCTCGCCGTCGGTCGGAACACGTACAACACTATTGATCCCCAGTCCAATTCCTTTTATTATAATTAAAACGAATAGTGCACTGCCCTGTTACGCGTTCTCCCCGTATTTCTCTCTCTCTCTCTCTCTCTCTCTCACCCTCTCTCTTCTGGACTTTAACAAATTATCTCCCCGACACACCTCACCACTGCAGCTAAACTCCCTTCTGGCGGCAGGACGAGCGACACTAGACCTCGTCCGGAGACCTCGCGCGAAGAGTTCGCCATCGTTTCGGTTAATGTAATTGTCTTAATCTATTTCTCATTCTTTTCCGCTGCACGTTCACCCGTCCCGTCATCGAGTTCCGGAAGGTTTTCGTCACGTCTTCTCCGACTAAATACGTTCCGCGGACCCGTGCCCGTAGACGTCCGCACCGAACCGTGCAGCGAAACCAAATCTCTAGTAGTAAAATGCTGAATCGCGTACCGAAGACTTTTTTTTATCGTGTTTTTACGGCCACTGCACTGTAAGTCCGATTCCGCGTTTTCCTTGGCACATCACGTTAGAACGTTATGTATAGACAATTGAGCAACATTTTTCGTTTAGTTTAACTGTTCATCTCGTCATGTTATACTTAACATCAATACACATTTATATCCTTAAATCCCAAAAATATGCATTTAAAATATAAAACCGTAGGATATGCAAAATTAAAATAGTGTTATTTGATTCGGTAACACGTGCATCAAACCCAGGCCCGCATCAAGTTGGATCGGTATAGGAATAAAAAAGCAATTTCATAAACATCCGAGCAATAATGATATTATTGTTCGATACGTTGTTTTTGTAACGGACGATTGACACCTGCGCCCGATTTTATTAGATAAGTTTAGAAGAGAAAACAAAATAAAGAAAAGTCGGAATAGCATGCCATGAAACTTGACAGTCACATTACGATTGCGACGCACAAGACGGAACGCAAACCGAACGCGCGCACCGCTGCAGCTCACGTGTTTATTCATTCGCACAAATCGTAACCATATATATAATGTATATTTGCATATAACGTTATTATATTTCTTTAGAAATGTCGGAAAGCGACGGGTCTCGTACACGTGCATAAACCTAATACGCGAAATAATGTTATTATTATTTTTATTTTTTGCTTTTACCGTAACAACAGGCGGAATAACGTCGCGCAATGGCCCATCATTTCATTCCGAAATCCGACCAGGTACAGCACGTGTGACGGTAATCATCCCCCGTCGACTGGACTACGGCGAGACCGACCAGGGGTGGTGTTCTACGGACATTAGACTTCGGGATGTATTATTCCGGCTAACCTGACACATGATAGGCGTGCTGCACCTGAAGTTTTCCAAAGCGCTCGATACTAAGTGCTGTGGACCGTCCCGGCCAGACAATACTGTGTCGGGAAATCGATCGGGATTCGGAAAGTTCCTCGAGTTCCTTATTTACTTGTTTTATTCAGGATAGTAATTATTATTAAAGAGAAGTGGATCGATAAACGAAGGCGCTTCCCTACCGTGCACTATTGCGTTATGATTTAACAGCCAAATATCGAACGATGTCGAAGTATTAATTGTAAACTTTAATTATACATCAATATAGCTATAGACTATCGTGTAATCACGTTAGCGCATGCAAATGTGAGAAATCGAAATCGCAGTAATAATTCGTTTCTTATCATCAGAATATAGCACGTCTTTCCGTCAGCTCCCGCCGTCCCCACCCTCTCCCCTAGAGTTACGTGTCAAGAGAGTCGTTGGTTTGTACGCGCAACACACGATTCCGAGTAGCGTTTCGGAAGAGAGGACGAACGCAGCGAATCGCGGCGGTGCACGTACGCATCGCGAGCGGGACCACGTCGTATCACACTCACCCCCGTCGCGCAGTGGCGTATATAGGGGAAGGGCTAGTGGGCTACAGCCCCCCCCCCCCCCCCCCGAAATGTTTTAAAAACTTAAAAATTATTTTAAACGTCTGTTATATCTTAGCGGTGCTTTATGCTTATTCAGAATTCGTGTAAACGAAATGTAGATAAGCACCTACTGCGTCTCGTCGGCAATTCTTAGTGGTAATTTAACTCTGCCCGTAGTAGCCCCTCCCGAAAATATTTCCCGCGTACGCCGCTGCCGTCGCGATACCCTCCGTTCCGTCCGAGTCTAACCTCTATTGGCGGCGTGTCGATCCAGCTCTCGCTCGCCCTGCGGGCCATGAGGGCCGGGCTGAACAGCAGGCTCTCGTCCTCGTCATCGTCGTCGGTCGAAAAGAACCAGGACATGGCTGCCGGCTACCGGACGGTGTGAGTCGGTCAGGGAGTTGCTCCGGAGTCGATCCGGGCACACGACGAACGCGAATCACGCGGCGTCCGTCCGTCGATCAGCCGTGTCGGGTCGAGCTCCGGTTCGTCCGGGGTGTACGCGCGACCTGTTGACCGGCTCCGGTTACGTCTTTTCTCCGCGGTCCACGCGAACGGGCGGCCGCGTGGTTTCGACGCGATACGCGGGCGACACGCACTACCACCGCTTAGGAGACTGTTTTTTTTTTTCTGTTCGTTTATTTATCTCTTTTGCCCCGTTTCTCCTTCCCCGTTCGGAACGACCCGCCGCCGACTCCATCGCGCTCTGTTTGGCAACGCGCCTGGCCGGAATCCAAAATGTTTATATTTAACCGCGTGTCCCCGGCGGCCCATACGTGAATCGTGCAAAATCGGTCTATTTCTGGACACGGGGCGGCCGTACCCGAATTCAGCACGTCCCCTTAGCCTCACACTGCGGCGACGTATTACGCAACTGTCGAGTTCGCTGGCTAATTTTTTTTTTTTTCGCGAACAGTGTTTACCTAAGCGTCTCATTGTTTTTATCATTGCTAGGTAAATATTTTTTACAAGCTGTCGGGGTATCCACGTTGTTTAAACTGTAATATTATTACATTGTTAGACGATGCTTAGCGCATAAGTAAATCCTAGTAATCGGGAAGAGAAAGATAGGGAGAGAGAGATAAGGAAGGCTGACGTTGGATCGAGTCCCGCAAATATTTTTGGGTTATCGGAGTTGAGTCCGACCAATATCGGTAGATTATTCGAGCCGAGTCCCTTCAGCCTATTAGCGTTACCTAGGGGACACCGATATAATATCAGATAGATATCTGCCAAAACATTATTAGAGGTTAATCTAAAAAAAAAAAACGCTTACACGAGGTTTTACAACATGTCCACCGTTGAACCTCGCCCTGCAACATGTTATGATACTCAAATAATTCTTATTTTTTTTTTTTCGTTTTTCACCAAGCATACACTCCATTCTTCACTCGTAAAAATTTAACGCGAGGTCATTTAAAAGTAGGTAAACATTGTGTGTTCACGAACTATTCGACACGACTGATTGATTTTGAACGAGTAAACCGTTGACGAGTATCCGTTATCGTTGCATATCCGATACTACGCCAGAATGCGATGTGCAAAGTTCAAGGTCGCCACCGGTAGGTAGATATAACATTTCATCGATACGTACTCAATTCAAAGATATCAAGATAATACAAGCTGGACTCAATTGAAACACATAAAAGTAGCACGGATTCAATTCGATATCGCCGGGAAGGAAAGCGGAAACGCGCTTGGTAATACCTCACCGCAGGGGTGATGGGCACTCGGCCGTTCCGTACTCGGCGACTGCCGGCGGGTGGACCCCGTGCCGCGACCGCCCGCGAACCGGACCGCGATCACGTAACTCTCGGGGAGTTTTCCGACGAGGGCGCGGCGGTTTGGAAGCGAAACGAACTCGCTGCGAACAACAACAACAACAACGCGGTCAATATTCGCACGGCGCCGAAGTGGCCGATAAAAGTGTTTGCCGGAGATGATAGTCGTGGTGTACGCGAGCGGTGCACACCCGGCAACAACTGATTTATATTGTAAACGCGTTTTATTTTCCTACTCGCGTTTTACGGATCTTTACCGTTTCGCCCGTAACGCGCCGATGATTTCGTATCGTCGACCAATCGTTGTAACGCGAACGGTTTTTCTACGACGGTCATACGACATGTATTATGTGGAGTCCACCGTCGGCCCGCGCCCGCGTACGGGGATATCGGTGTACTTCACCGGAACGAATGGAGAGCTGTGTTCGCGGGGAACAGGATCGATGAGGTTGGTACCCGTTCAACAAACGATTCGCGAGTATTGAGCCGTTTTCGCCCGGATAATGATGAATAACGACGATTTCCTATCCATCAAGTATCTAATAAGGGTGGGGGAAGTGGGTATGCCCGCCACTGTTGATTTAAGGCGTAAGTGAACCCCGAGCTTTCGCCTACGTAAGGACGATGCACTTCTGTTGGACCCGAACGTCAAATCTCCTCAACACTGCCTACAATATCGTTTGGATCAACATCGCGGACAACGTGCGCACGTGCGTTTAAAACTCCGAGCACAATTGGACCGCCACTTTTGTCCACTTCTGTTCTTCTGTTTGAGTTACGGGAACACCGTGCGAAACATACGAAAGTACACGGGTCGAGCGCCGCCGTAGTAATAATTGCGTTGCACAGCAAATGTAAACGTATTCGATAGCGCGAATTTGATCGTGTCACAACGTACACCGTCGGCTAGAAACCCAGATAAACGCAGTCGTACGTTACCGAACGCAAGTAAAAAAAATCAAACTGTACCCAAGCACATCGCGTCATACCGAAACACGAACTATTCATCAACGCTTCACCGCGGAATATTATTCAAACCGAAATGTCAATATACGAACACAATGTGCTAAGCTCTCCAACTATGCACAGTATATAACATTGTATACGGTATAGGGGTTACGTGTGAAACATGTAATCGACCTTCCTTTGCCAAATATTTGCCGCGCTCTGGTACGTCATAGATAACCTAACGATTTACACGACCGGTGAATATTACACATAGCAGACAGTTTCGCTCTAAATTAATACGTATTTTGTTCCAAACATTTTATTCTTATTTTTAAACGAGGAATCTTATCACCGATCGATATGTTACTTTATTTTATCGCAATGTTGTCTATACGGGTGTACCGTGTCGCAATAGAAATGATTTATGGAGCGGAATACCGAATAAAATCTTTTTTCGTTTTGCAAATTTACTCGTCTAAAAAGTTCGTTTCGAATCGCTGTAACCGAAGACAAAAAAAAAAAAAAAAATTAGTTCAGTCATCCGTTTCAACGTATTATAATATTATAATTATGAGTGAAAAATAATACCTCATATTGTGACATCAATATTCGAATAAAACTATTTTTATACTTAAATGGCGAAGAAATCGGTATTAATTTGTGTTTACAAAATATTTACACGGATCCTACGAAACTGCAAAATATATTACGTGAAATTAAATCATAGCGCGCCAATGATAAGTCGTAACATTTTGGCAAAACGCCATGATGTTTCAAAAATTATACACTGTTAAATTATAGTTCCAAGTCGAAAATAAAGAACCAAATACTCGTCAACAGCGGAGAATTTAATGAAATGGCAAACAACAGCGCCAGAAATATTTTCTCGGCGCTGCAAATGCATATACTTCAAGTGTATTTAAACATCATTTGCCTCTGACGAAAAATATCTACGATCTAATACCATTTTTAATTTTTTTTTCTTTTTTTTAGCAACCGAGTTTTATAAAACGTGTATTTGACAACGAAAACAAGCCTTTATAAAACAATTACAAAAATGACCGTTCGCGGTGCAACAGAACAAACGTCATCTCGATACATTGGTACAGTATTATACGAAATAAAATTAATTATAATAACTATACTAAAAACGACCGCAGTGTCCCGTTTGACGTCCAACAGTCGAGCGGTTTTTTCGGAAAAAAAAAAAAAAAAAAAATCATGACGTTTTCTAATTTGTACACGTCGCTTAACGTTGCTATAGAAAAAAAAAAAAAAAACGGTTTGACACTGTGGACCCGTTCGTGTGACGGCCAGACAGCCTACCACCGTATACAGCGTACGGAGATGGATACGTGATTGCGATCGCGGTGTACGCAAAAGGCGAAAGTTGTAGATTCGGATTTTGAAGACCAAATCTATTGATTACCTACTGGGCGCGCGCTCCAAATTGTTTTCGACCGGTCTCGCTGCACTACTACTACGTGGATAACTTAATTTCAGACAGGGCGTGTCCCTCTTCCCTGGCCCTTATCCCTACCGCGCCCGCTTGCCACCTCTGCCGACGTCTTTCCGTACACGGGCGGGCGACTCGTGCGCGCGACCACGTTGCCGCCGTCGGTAGCCGAACACCCCGTTCGCGCGCGCACACGCACGGGACGTTGGTAATAAAAAATTTATTCTCATAATTTCGATTTCAGCGACCGTTAAAACAATTCACATAAAACGAGGTGCCTCCAAGGCGCCGACCGACCGTAACGTGTGGCGCAAACGAAAACAAAAAATAGGAAAAACAATAAAACGTTATGAAAATCGAAGACGTCTTTTGAAAATAAAACGACGTACGCGGACGGGACGCGAAGGACATTACATCACCGGCGTATAATCTACCGCGTGGATGCGTCATCGTCGTCGTCGTGTACGATTTACGAGCGCGCATTCGGCGCCAAATCCATAGGCTCTCGGGCGCAAGGACGATCGCGTCTTTTGTGCGCAGGGTGTCCTACGAGGGTTTGTTAATTGCTACCATTGTGTCGTATATTGTGTTCGTATTCCGTTTCAAACCCACGTACATGTAAACGTATTGATTTTTTATGAACGAATATACACACTTCCGTCTGTAGGCTGACACGAGACGGAATTAAAACAATCGGTGTCCGTTCACAGAAAAACAGTTCAATTCAACTTTGTCGTGTGTTAGCAGACAAATGCTTGTTAGCGAATTCATTTTCTCGCGGTTCCCCGCTTGATTCTTCGTTGTAAGGTTCATGAGATTTATTAGTCGAACCGACAACAATATCAGCAGAATTAACAGTCCAGTCGTCCAAATTTTACAACAACCAACGAGAAAAAAAAAATGGTATTTATTTTCCGCCAAAACATGTATAGTTTTTTGTTTTATATTAAATTAATTAAAATTTGTAACTGTATGAAAAAAAAAAAAAAAACAATATTCGATTATCTTTATCAACACTGCAGGAGGTGTCGCAATCAGTATACTGCCGTGGTGAGCCCGGCGTATAACAGTTGTGCGGAAAAAGTTCAGTGGCGTGTTATACTGATCTACGGTTGGCTTCCGCAGAAAAAAAATTACATTATATTTTGTTTAAATGAATTGAAAGCTGCCTGTGCGCATGAACAAAACTTTGATGTTAGCAAAATGGGTCAACAAAATGTGCAAGTAATTAAATATATGAAAATAAACATTTGTATCCATCTTGATAGGAAAAAAAAATGAAATTTTACTGATTTTAAAACTGAATTAAGGTCTACCTTATTGTTTCGATGTTAGAAAAAAAAGTTGAATTTCCCAAGAAATCTTTAAGTACTGTCGTTTACGGAAAACTACAGCTCTTTTATGCTTCAATTTATAGCAGTGAAGGAAATGAGCATTTTTGGGGT